CCTGGACAGGTCTCCAGTCCATCACAGGGACACCTGGACAGGTCTCCAGTCCATCACAGGGACACCTGGACAGGTCTCCAGTCCATCACAGGGACACACACACTCTCTCTCAGCTAGGGACAGTTTAGAGTTACCAATCAGCCTAACATGCATGTTTTTGGTCTGTGGGAGGAAACTGGAGCACCCGGACAAAACCCATGCATGCACGGAGAGAACATGCAAACTCCACCCAGAAAGGCCCCTGGACCGGGTTTTGAACCAGGGACCTGCTCGCTGAGAGGCAGCAGCTCTACCAGTTGCACCACCATGCTGCCCGCCCAGTCAAAGTCATTTATGGTTAAATTTAACTTTCCAGTTAGGTGAATGGTTCCAGTTAGGTGAACTGGTTCATTGATCCTAGCAGGAAATCAATACTTCAAGGAAACTAATTAACTTTTAAACTGACCTGCTTTTTTTCAACAACTTCCTGATGAGCTCAGTGAGCCGGATCTTCAAACCCAACTTTTAGATGTTGTTTTCCACCAGTGACATCATAAAGGCTGCGACGCACCACCAGTTTTCATGCTTCAGGTCATTTATTGTGTTTTCTGTGAAACAAACGTAAAGAAACCACAACGCGTCGCAAAATGCTTTAAAAATCATCTTCCAAGAAGAAAATAACAATTAAGCTGCGTTGCTGTTTGGTTTCCCCGTTGGGGCGGCTGTGGTTCAGTGGTTAGAGCCGTGTCCTCCAATGGAAGAGTCGGGGGTTTGATTCCACCAGCAGTCACAAGTTGAAGTGTCACTGGGCAAAACACTGAACCCCTCACTGTCCCTGATGTGTCCCGTCAGTGTGTGTGTGTGTGTGTGTGTGTGTGTGTGTGTGTGTGTGTGTAGTTGTGTGTGTGTGTGTGTGTATGTGTGTGTGTGTGTGTGTAGTAGTGTGTGTGTGTGTGTGTGTGTAGTAGTGTGTGTGTAGTAGTGTGTGTGTGTGTGTGGAGGTAAATGAGTGTGTTGATTAAACAGAAAGTGTTTATATATAAATGTACAGTTTAACATGTTGACAAGATGAGAAAGTGTGAAAAAGTGATTAAAGCCTCACTGAGCTCTGTGTGTAGTCAGCAGAGCAGGAGGAGAACAGAGGAGGAGGAGGAGGAGGAGGAGCCCCCTGATGATGAGTGACTTCCTGAGCTCAGCCCATTTTCTGTTTTCCCCTTTTGACCAAACTATGGAGTGGAGCTGCAGGACGACTGCTTCTCTCCTGTTCTGAGCCACGTCAAGGTAAGAACGTTCCTTCAGTCTGCAGCTCACGTGGGTGGGAGGTTCTCCAACATGTTCTGTCTGAGAAACGTTTTCTTCACGTTAGACCTGCAACCTTTGAGTCCTTTCATCTGCAGGGAAATGTTTCACACGAAGCTCAGTCCAGGGACGTTGCTCAGAGAGGGTTTTCCTGAGGGAACCCTTCAAACGTGTGGCCTGCAGCAGCTCCTTCAGCTCCTTCTGGCATGTGAAGGTGGAGGACCAGCAGCAGATGAAGCTCTGAAGTTCAAAAAGCTTCCAGGAGGTTTCAAACTTCTATATTATTACAGAGTTGAGCCACACAAAGCCTGCGGCCTGGTTCTCTCATCTCATCTCTCCTGGGTGGAACTGATACTTCCTGTCACTGTGTGTGAGTGTGTGTGTGTGTGAGTGTGTGTGTGAGTGTGTGTGTGTGTGTGGGGGGGGGGGGGGGGGGGGGGGGGGGGGGGGGGGTGTCAGGTTTGGTCTCAGCTGAGGCTCAGTCTCTGCAACTGGAGCAGACTTTCAAACAGGAGATTGTCTGAAACAGGAAGTTTCCTTTCATGCAACTTTAACTGAAAGTAAAATAAATAATCTGTGAGTGTTTTAATCCAAGAAGCTCCTGCACGTCCCAGAGACGAGGCTTCAGCTCATGTCTGAATAAAAGCTGAAGTTCAGCTTCACAGAGCGGCTGCTTGGTAACTTCCTGTTTGGACTCGTGCACTTCCTGCATGGTTCCTCTGCTTCCACCTGGTGCGACGAGCTGCAGGTTCAGGGATGTTCAGCGTTTCTTCCTGAAACCGGTTTAAAAAGCTCGCATGAATCCAGAAGACCTGCACGTATGAACCGTGCACGTGAACCAGAAGGGTTCACACGTCAGGTGTGCCAACACGGATTCTGTGTGTATCTTCATGAGCGAGACCGTTTCAGTCGATGGTACCGGACCACCAAATTCTGAAAGTGACTCCGTTTGGTTCCTGGGTGGACGAGGTTCAGACGTGCACGCCCATCAACAGCTGCGAACAGATGTTGTAGAAGACAGCTGTGGAGCTGCAGGACCACGTCACCAGCAGGAGACTTGTGAGGCCGCGTGTCTGCAGGTCGGTCCTGATGCAGCTGACGGGACGACCTCGGGTGTTTCATCTTCCCACACCACGACCGAAACTCTTTGCTGAGGCGCAGATCCATCCACCGTTTACAGAACAAGCTGCTAAATCATAATAATTAATGATATTCTATAATTATTTATTATTAACCTTTACTGAACCTTTACTGAACCTTTACTGAACCTTTACTGAGCCTTTACTGAACCTTTACTGAACCTTTACTGAACCTTTACTGAACCT